GTGAACTCTATCATACTCTCTCACACATTTATAACAAAGTAAAAAAAGAATAATTATTAAATTACGTAGTTTTACAAACAATATCCTATAGCAACCCGTTACTATATTCATTTTAAAACGCACTTAGTTACCTATACAAAGATATAAAAGCCTTGCATATCGTGTTACTTTCAACTAGAATTCAACAAACAATACAACTGAAAAATTGAACGTATGTATAGATGTAGAGTAATTATAATATATATTTTTCTTTATTTAAATTTAAGAATAAAGAAAGAAAAATGGCTCGATTACCACCCGATAGTTTTAGTCAAATGATTGCCTCTATTGCAGTTGTTTTTGGTGTAATAGCTTTAATACTTGCTTGTGTTGGTATTGGTACACCGAGATGGTATTCAGCTTTTGTCTCAACTGGTACTGGAACATATGCAAAAACTAATAGTGCTAACTTTTTCTATACATGTGATGTTTCAACGAGCGGCGTAACAAACAATTGTACAAATCGTGATAGCAGTCTCTATGGCTATCCAGGATATAGTTCATCAAATGCATGGATGACTGATTACAACCAACGTATGCAGAATGCCGGTTCTCTATGTATTGTTGGTATTCTCTTTCTTACTTTTGGCATAGTGGCTACATCGATTATGGCACTTCGTTACTTTTCTGCATGGGCTACTTCTATTCCACCAGCATTATTCTTTCTTGCATGTCTTTTTATGCTTGCAGGTATGGCTGAAGGTGCTCGTTATCTTCTTTATAATGATTATTCAGCTAATCTGTATCAAACAGCTCATTTACTTACTATGTTCGCTCTCGCTTTGACTGCTTTTGCTGCTGGTCGTGTTCATTTCTCGCGCCGAACCGAAGCTGGTCACAATACTCCTCATAATGTTGCTTGAGATACATTCACTGAACTTTGTATTTTTTTTTCTTTTTTGTTTCTTGTTTCTTGTATTCTTATACATGCATGATTAGTATGTTCAATAAACTGGATCAATTTAAATTTTGTATTTTGATATAATATTTGAAAGTAACAGAAGATTGAATTACTTAGAATATCAATAATTGAACATTATTTCAAACAATAATTTAAATATCATGTTTTTATTTTGCAAAGATATTTTAGTAGCGATGATGAAAATTAAACAAATATATCATATCAGATTGATGTTCACATCTCAAAAGATCTCTCATTATTTACTTTTTTTTTAACTGTCGTTTGAGTATATACGTGATTTCCTTTTGTCTTCTTATTTAGACTCGTAATTTGTATATAGACGCAAAATGTTTGAAGTTTCATTCTATGCACTCGTTATACTTCATTAATC